GGGGGCAAGCAGGCAGCGCCAGCAAGCCCCGCCTGCAGCCGGAGACCCCCGACCGCAGATTTTTTGGCTAAAAAGCTCTGAGCCTGAATCCCCGCGCAGCCCAGGGCTCTGCGGGGGGGTACTGCCCGTGCATGCACTGCATAAAAATACACATTTTTCTGCTTGAGTGTCTAAAAAGAGAGGTTAAAAGCAAGCAGCGGCTGATGTCTGGTCCCGGCGACCCGCAGGGAAGGGATGGGGAGGGCTGGTTTTTAGGAGCGTGGGTCTCTCGCAGCCTCCCCGCGCGCCCCTTCCCCGCCTCAGCTCGCCTTTTTGTCCGAGCCCCTAGCAGCGCTGCCATCCAAAGCATCTCTTTTGGGGGGGTTTGAAGGAGGCCAGAAGAACGGCCTCGGGCTGAAACTTGGCAAGGGGCAGCTGCACTCCAGGAGGGAGGAATTCCTGGGTTAGAAACCCTTTTTTTTAAGCCCGCAGCGTCCCGTTTTATGAGCATGAAAGAGGGCAGAGAAGCGGAAACGCTGCTTTCTTAGTTTGCACTATTTCCCAGTAAAACAAGGGAGAAACCGTCATAGCGAGGAAGAGCCTGACAAACCCGCCTCATCCTCTGAAAGCACGCACGCCTGTTACTACACCATCGCTCTAAAGCACTCATGCCCCCCCAGTTCCTCTGCCTGGAGGGGCCATGTCCCCCCCCCAGCTCCCCCATGCCGGCACATCCCCACGGGGAGGCACCGAAACCCCGCGGAGGCAGCATCTCTCCATCACTTGCACCGAAGCGAAGCCCCATGGCGGGACAGGGAGCTGCTCCCGCGGCCGCTTTCCTGCCACCTTCCCAGCACATGAACCCTCCTGTTCCCGACGCAGGGCCCTGTCCTCCCTGGGGACAGCGTTGTCCCCAGCGTCTGCCCTGGAAAGCCGCGGGTGTACACCCCGGGGCTGAACCCCAACGTACCCGTGGGAGCTGGGGCCGCCGGCGGCGCGAGCCGGGGGCTGCTGACGGCCGGAATGCCTGCCAAGGGGAGCCTTAATC